ACAATCGGAATTGATTCCTTTTTTCCTTTCTCTTTCTTCATATCAATTACATATGCTAAACATCCCTGACACTTCTTCCGAATACGTTTCTGAGCTTTCACCACAGTCAAAATACTAGTATGGTGATTCTGACGATCATCATAAATAACAATTGTTCATTGGTCTGGCAGAGTAATTCTGATCATTTTCTGATTGCAAACAATACTAGCCTGATACTTTGCCAACTAATCCATACCCACCACTATATCAAATTCCTTTATCAGCATAGGGAATAACCGAATCGGTAGGTTACAACCCTTAATAACAATAATACAGTTATTGAATATACTAGTAACAGTTTCTTGACTATTAGCAATATCAACTACTAATTCTTCATCAAGTAACACAGAATTCAAGCATGCAGTTTGAGCAAATGATGGTGATACAAACGAAAAGTTTGCACCATAGTCAAATAACACCTTAGCATGTATAGAATTCAGAAGGGAGGTACCTGTTACTACATCTGGTGACGCCTCTGCCTCATTCTTTGTCATCTGGAAGGACCGTCCCTGTGCCCCTCCTTGCCCTCCTCTATTCAAAGTATGTCTTCCCCGAGTACCGGACGCATTATTTCCCATTGTCAGCTGTGGAGTTCTTAACAATGGACAGTTCGGTCGAATATGATCCGGAGAATTGCAATTGAAACATCTTCTATTAGCTGGGAAACTTCTTAACAAATGGCCCGCTTCACCACACTTGTAACATTTTATTGGGTCCATCTTGCACTCACCCTGATGAACCTGTCGACATTGAGTACATACTTTCTCACTGACTTTTTGATCAGCTCTCTTATCATATCTCACGATTTTCGGCCCTCGAAAGTTCGATGAAGGCCCCTCCCACTTTATTTTCTCTACAACTTTTCCTTTTGATTGCCGATTCTTATTTCGTTCTGTCACTTTGGCCGCATCTACAGTTAGTGAAAAGGTATTGGGGTTTATAGCAATTACAAACTCTCTGATTGAGCATTTCAAACCCCATATATACCTTTCTATCTTCTTGAATTCAGATGAAACATAATGCTTGGCAAATCGAGAGTATTCAATAAATTTCTCAGTATACTCCCGAACTGTTCCATTTCCCTGTTCCAGTTTCAAGAAATCTTCTTCCATTTGTCTCACTATTGTTTTAGTACAAAACTGATTCTTGAATCGTTCCACAAATTCTGTCCAGGATAACGTCTGTAAAACATCCATCCTGGCCAATGATTCAACTTCCTACCAGAACAAAGCATTTGAGTTCAATACTGAGACAGTTAATCGAATTCTATCAGTTTTCGGACACTGAATGGTGTTGAACACAAATTTCATCTCCTTGATCCAGCACATAGCTTTTACTGGATCCCTCTCCCCAAAGAATGTTGGTGGCTTGCATGCCAAAAACATCTTGATATCTCCCTCCTTATTGTGAGTAATCGGTACAAAGGGATGAACTTCTACTCTCTCTGTTTCCACCCTAGCTGGTATTCCCATTATGGATATCAGAGTTTCTCGTAACTTTCCCATTTCCTCTGCCAACATATCATTGGTTATATATTTCGGGTGTGGCACYGATCTTTCCTGAACATTCCCATAATAGGATTCTTCATGTTCAGAATGAACTTCGGTACGACCCCTTCCTTGAGACTGACTTCTCCCTCTGCCTCGACCCCTTGGTCTTCCCCGACCTCTATTTCCAGAAGTGCTAGTCGGAAGGTTAACGGGGACTTCCTCTCTTTCCTCAGACTCTGGTCGAGCCGTTCTTTCGGATCTCCGGGTTCGGTTACACATCTGTAGATTTTAGTGTTAATAATCACATATTCACATTCCCAAATATAATGAAGTATTCAAGTTCAAATGTGTACCTATAAATTCATAATTACATTGGCCAGATGTAATTAAAATTTACCTTACACACTGTTCCTTCAACTCATCATATTTATTTCCAATGATGCTAACTATGTCTGGGACCCTTAACATTCAATAAAACAGTTTAAGTCTAGGTATCATACTGTTAAATACCAAAATCCCTTGAACTCAGGCTCTGATACCACTTTTCTGTAACGCCCCATTCCATACATTGCATGTAACACATACTTCATATACAAGAAATACATGTTTGGTACACCACATTGGTCCCTTAGTACAAGAATCTACCAGTACAAAATACATGGTCCAAAAATTCAAATTACAAATTTTGCACTAATCCAGATTCATCTATAAAAACTATACATATTATTATTAAATCTTCATGCAGGAAATCACATAGGGAAAATATTACATTTTTCCCTTCCCCTTACCATCAGCACTTCTTGCAATACATATTTAAAATCACAAAACGAGGGTTAGACCAAAAGACCTAGTGAGTTACCCTATTTATGTTATTGCAGGGTGAAAATCACCAAAACTTTTATGTAAAACAACTTTTCATATATATATATATATATATATATATACTAGTTGTGTACCCGCGCAATGCAGTGGGATGTAAACTTCGAATAAATGTAAATGAAAAGTTGCATGATATCCCTCGGGATGACATCATGTAAAGCTGGTTCGAGTAAACTTTCCTTATAGTGTTACCTTGATGGAGTGAAGAAAACTCATCTATTTTGGATGATCAGCTACACAGTAGAAAGAGCAAGAGCGAGCAATATTCTCACTATCGAATGATATTAACTAAAAGAAGTTGCTTGCTTGAATGATTATACGAGGCCATGGAGAGGTATAAGTCAAAACATGCATTCCATTTGCAAAWGTTCTAAAATGTTGTTCTACAACATCATACCATTTAGCACTCTCATAGTTGTGTACAACATGCATCAAAATAAAAATCGATATAAGTACCATAGACATCTTTTAATCTTGARGTAATMCTTTGCAATTGAATTACACAATCTTTGAATCATATATCTCAATTAAATCAAGTCTCTTGCTATTCAAGTGCAGTCCATTGGACTTGTTTCGAGATGTATAAATTGATTATATGGTCTTAGAAAGTRAAAKATGTCAYTGYACAGAAAAAACACCAAAGAACGCTAGAGATAGAAGTCTTCAATGTGGGGTCTGATTCAGAGTCAAAAACCACAAACCAAACAACTTATGCTGTTTGAGGGTTTTTTCCAAACCAAACCACATATGAAACAATGTCATGCACATAACATAATTAAGTCCAAATGCATATCAAATTTTAATCGAACTACACAAAATGAGACAATGAAATTGGTCATTTAGAAAAGTAGTCTTGGCAAAATAAAAGTTACATATGTTTACAAATTACAACTTCACATGAACACTAAATAATTATATCATAAGTTAATTATTTCTACAACAGAAGACTCCGGTTATAAACACCCGGTTAACTTAGACATTTATATCCAATATCTTGATAATCTTTTACATTTATGCACACTAAACATTAAATGAAGACAAATCGAGAGATTTACGGCCTTGAGCATAAAAAAATACATTTGTAAAAATTCATTGTCAGGACAACTCCACTTTTCATTGATACGCTTACTCTTATTCATCTACATGTGTCTATGGTTACCTTCTACATTGTGCATAGAAAGCTCCGACCTCTCCAACTCCAAGATGAAGACATCTATTCCCGAAAAGAACCAACAAAATATATAAAAAAGATCCTGCAAAATATGCCACAAAGAAAAGCAAGAAGAACCAAACCCATTAAAATAAGCAAGAACCAGCAGCCAACAGTCGCATCATTCGTGCATCAGTGATGAAAACCCCCACGTGTATAACAGTTGGCCAGTAATAAAAGCAGTGAACTACGTCTAAGGTGTCATTTACCAAACGCTTACCCGAGCAAGCACTTACCAAGTCACATTACCTTATCGGATGAATATGGTAAGGACCAGTAATATTACCCAATAAGAGTGAGGCAAGGACCAAAAGTCTTACCAACTAAGTAATAGCGACAACTCTTACCACTTACCAGGTAAGTTGTTATTATATGATACCGTTATGGTGGACTAAAATCTTAAAGTTATAAGTAAATAAAGTCTTAGAAGTAAATAAGTTACATACATGATTTCCACAAAATGAACTCCAACAGACCATAAGACTAAAATCCAATCTTGTTCTTTCTCTGTTAGGACTGAGAAATCAGTATTAATTGTATTCGTCTTGAAAGATTAATTTTAGTCTATAATTGTAAAGTCAGCGTGTTTGACTTTCTTAGACTAGTTTGACTTTGACTTTGTTAGTTAGGTTGACCATATAAATATGGTTTAATCTTTGTAATTAGAAAGAAGAGAGCTAATTGTAAGATTACATTGATAATAGAAGGTTTGACCAGAATTGAGAGGATTGACTTTTCCTCTCAATATTCATATATGTGTTCATAGTGTTCTTAATGATAAATTCATGAATCTGCCATTGATGTGAGCTTGATATTGAAGATTGATTAGTAATTGTGGACACACAATTGGTATCAGAGCAGGATGCAAGAAATCAGAGAAAGAATCAAGAAGATAAGTGATTTTTTTTTCTGAATTTTTTTTTTCTTTTTCGTGTTCTTCGTGTTCTTGAAATTTTTTTTATTTTGATCCGTTTTTGTATTAAAATCTTGTGTTTTGGTGTTAAAATCATGATCAAAATGCTCGAAATCGCATTGTGAATCTTTGTTATTCACAAACTTTTACGATTTGATCAATTAAAATCGGTTTTTTAGGTTTTTAAAGTTTTTTGTGTTCTTGAATTTTTTTTCATAAATCAGTGTTTTGATCCATTTTTTTTTTAAATTTCTTTTAGTTTTTGTGTTTTTGTTAGTTTTAATCTGATTTTCATTTTAAGTTTGTTTTATTTTTGTTAAACCGTCCAAAACATCAAAGGCCCAACAATTTTTTTTTAGCCCATTAGTTTGGCCGGACTAAGAGTCCGCTTACAACTTCATAGTTCTGGACAATTTGAACAGAGGAGAAAATCAAAGGTGAATTGGATTTGCAAGTAAATCGAGCGGAGAGGTAAACTTCAAGCGGTATTCATATACACCGCTCATCACTTGAAGCCTTCATTCAGCCGGTGTTCATCTACACCGGAGAAGACTTGACCGGTATTCATCAAGCGGTATTCATCTATACCGGTCACCACTTGACCGGATTAGGGTTCTAACTCAATTCAGCAGGTAAGATTTCTTGATATTCATTTAAGCGGACTAGGGCTTAATTTTTCAATATTGAGCGGATTTCTAATCCGCTTGATTCCTTTTTCCCAGATTATTTCAATTGTTTGCTGTTTTTAGCCCAATCGGTTTCATTGCAATTTGGGTCGATAAAGTTTTGCTTATGTGTTCGTCCTTAGTTTGATCAATTTGTGTTAAATTGTACAAAACAGAAGGGTTCAATACTTAATCGCAGATTTAGTTTGAACCAGTTGCTGTAGTTAATGTTGTCCAATTTACACTCTTGTGGCAGTCAACAGCAAAGAAGACTGTTTTGAGTTTTGACAGTAAAAAGAAATACAGCAGCTAGTTTTATATTGTTTGTTTCATGCATTGGAAGTAGTGTGCAGCAACAACAAGTTGTGTTCTTAACAGCAGTCCAACACAGCAGCCGCACAGCAGCAAGGTTCTTAACAGCTTGCTGTTTCAAACCTGTGCTGTGATGTGTTAAGACAACAACACAGTTTTTTTTAAGTTGTTTAAATATGTTTTCACAGCAGTAACAGGTAACAGCAGTGTGCAGCAAGCAGTGTTAACAGGTTTAAATCTGTGTGCAGTGTTAAGCAAGCAGCAGCAGGTTTGAGCAGTTAACAGTAGGTCTTGCTGTTGTGTATGGAAAGAAGACAGCAACAATCGGACATAGACAGCAACCATTATTTGACAGTAGCTGTTCATAAACTCAAGTGCAGACTGGAATAGAAGCAGTTTGAACAGCACCTGGTTACTGTTTTTTTGATAGCAACTACAACAGCAGTGTGCAAAACTACAACAGTCTTTGGGACTGTTTCTGGTTTGAAACAACAGAACTTCAAGGTTTATTCTTGCAGTGTGCTAGTGCTAGTACCAAGTGAAAAATAGCAGCTTCATTTTGCATCAATCATTGCTGTTTCCTAATTTTTTTTAAGGCTGTTTTTAAAACAGCTTACACAGTACACAGTCACACAGATATTTTGTTTGAATCGAGTTTAAACATTCTATTTGATATTTCTGTGTTTGTTATTTGAGCAGCAAGAACAAAACAGCAAGTTTAACAGCAGCAGGTAGTGCAACATGGACAGCAACTATTCTGAAATGCTTCACATTGAGCAGATCTGACTTTATGATTAGTCTTGGTCAGCTAGTTCATTGGGTGTTGTTTTTGCTAGTCTGATTTGGACAGGTTCATTCACAGCAGCAATTTTTTTTTGAAACAAGTTGTTGTTAACAACTGTTGGTGTGAATTAGACAAGAAGCAACAGTCGTGTTGGTGTACAATCTGCAATCAACAACAAAGCAGAAGCAAGAACAAAACAGCAGCTAGCATTTGTTTTACATATAGAAGCTTTTGTGACTGTTTTGTATAGAAGATTGAACTCAGCAGTTCTTGACAGCAGTTGACAGCACACTATTTAAGAAGCTTTGAAACAGAAACTACAAAGTGCATGGTCCGCAGAATATCCAGTTTAGAGCTGTGAGAAGTGGATCCATACTAGAAGCTTTCAAGTGGATTTCTGGATAATCTTACGAGGGCAGATAGTATATTGTTTTTGTGTAATATATGTATTGTAAAGTGGTGATACTGTGTGATTTGGACTTAGACTCATTTTTTTTTTGACTTGGTTTATTGTTTTTAGACTGTTTTTAGGTTCTTAGTTTGTCTGTGTTTAGATTTTCGTTTGGATCATTGTATATCTGTTTTTGCGTGTGTTTTTCAGTGTTTGTGTTTTTCTTTTACTTTTTGAGCTTAACTGTTCGTATTCTTTTATCTGATTTCACTGCATAGATCCTTAACTGATCATTTTTTTTAAATGGCAGATATTCTAAAGAAGGAAAATCAAGAGTTGCGAGAGAAAATTGTTCAGTTAGAAACGAATTATATGGTTCTTAGAGATCATTCCATAAATTTACATAGCAAAAATTGTCTTAATGAGGATCATATCAAAACATTAAA